TCTTCCCAGGGAGAGAATGCAATGACCACCTGACCTGAGCATCCTAACTCCTTACAGGTTCCCACCAGTTCAGACAGAACTTCTGTATGTGTGTGTGTGTGTGTGTGTGTGTGTGTGTGTGTGTGTGTGTGTGTTTAAAAGATTTGAAATCATTGTTAACTTAAATGTGGTTTGCCAAAGCTCTCTATTTTCCATTAATGGCAGTGCTAATACTGTTTATTTTAAAATCTAAATTAGACACATCCTTCCCCCTGAATTTCAACTAGCTATTTTTTGATGAAGTCATGAAAAAGTGGTTTTTGTATTTTGGAAAAAACAATGGAAAATATGTCCCAAACTAGGATACCTGCAGTAGGAAAAGAAACTAACAAACAAAGAGCCCGATGCATAGCAATAAATGCAACAACACAAATGCAAGACTTATATGCTGAAAAACACAAAACATTACTGAGAGAAATGAGAATAGATCTAAATAAATGGAGACATTCCAAGCTCATAGATTGAAAGATGAAGAATGTTAAGTTTGGCACGTCTCCCCACACTGACCTGCAGAATCAACAGAACCACTAGATGGATCCCATCCACTGAGACTTCCAGTCTCAGCTCTCACATGTGAAGAACATGGAATTTGGCGCATCTGTCCTTACAATAAGAGAAAGCTGGACAAACTGAAAATCAATGACTTTTCTTGGACATATCAGAAAATTGAGGTTACAGGACAAATGAGCACCCCCAAATCTGGAGAGACGGGTATATCCAGAGAGACACAGCTAACACCTGCTTTCCGGGAGCAGCAGTCGCAGCAGCCGGTAGCCGTAACCTAGCAGCACCACTTGCACGGTCATTCTGGGGAACTGCGAGAGGCTGGACGTGGACCAGCACGAGCGTGAGGAACCGCTGAGGGCCTCATTCTTAGAGAACCGCCCCCCCACACACACACTTTTGAGAGCCTCACCCCCAGGAAGCACGCCAGGCTCTCACAGCAGAGTAGCACCTTCATGGCTCTTGCAGGGAAAGGGGAAGGGGCCTTTGTGAGCACCCCAGAGCCTTCTCCATAACAGAGGTCTACCAGCGAGGGGGCGGGGAGGCCTGAGCCTTACCCACTTTGCAGAAGGGCATCCTCCCACTCCAGCCCCCTCCAGCCTTTCCTTCTTATGTAAGAGAAAATGACAGTCTGCTGGGGTCAGGGCTTCAAGGAGATAAATTGGAGCTGCTGCAGCCAGAGAAGGAATAAACCTCCTCCATCCGTCCAGTGGTTCCCCAGCTCCGCTCTACTTGAGCACCACCTGGGGAGCTTGAAAAAATCCTGATGCCCAGCATGTGCCCAGACCAATCGCGTCAGAATCTCCAGGGGTGAGACCAAGTATCAGCATTTTTTAAAACAGGTCCAAGGCCAATTCACACCAAGCTCAGACCTACTATTGTCTGCACAGATCTGAGTGGTTTGACAGAAGAGAAAACAGATTATGAATTATCTACTTTACAAGTAATCACCAAGAGAGAACTCACTGTTTCTCTAAGCAATTATAAACTCTGCCATTAATTTTCCTATAAGTACATTCAACCATTCCTCTACTTTGCTAATTTACTCTGACTTTCACAGAATGGTGAAACATGTAATCTGCTCACAGATAATCAAGAGCTGCTTGTCATACTTCCACTGCCATTATTCCTACTGTCATAAAAATAACCCGCCTCACACTTTCATATTTTATTTTAGATCATTTCATAAGCTCTATAATTAATCCTGGAGCTTCAGGTGTTTAATAAGTGCCATGATGGGCCCTGATACGTGTAGTCGTTGGATTTGCATTTCTATTCATGTTGCAACTGTATCCAAATTGCACCTGCAGATTTTCTGGATCAGCAGCTATCTGAAATGCAGGCATTTCAGTTTCTACTTTAATGCAGAACACATTTGGTTTCTATTTTAAAGCAGATGCAATCAGTGTGGTGGCACACAAGGCACCATCGATTGTCCTTTATCTCAATCTTGTATAGAATTAAAGCTCCCACCACAGAAAAGGGCTGCTGTTTTACTGACAGATGGCCATTGGTCCACCCTGCCCTCCCTCCCCAACAAACAAAATTCCCTGTAGCTGCTGTGACTTGGAGAATTATCTGGACTCATAAGCAAATTTACCAGGAAGTCAATGAGACTCAAGCTTCAGGGCCTCTCAGTGTGTGGGGGCCTCTTCTAAAATTCTAGGAGGTACCCTAAATGTTTGTATTTAATTTTATATTCTTTTCCTTGGGGCAAACTGTATAAGAACTAGACCCCATAAATTTTGGATCCATCCATAAGTGAGCCTAATGTAACTTGGCTGAGAATCAGAAGGCAAACACTGAATAAACTATTAAATCTTTACAATGTGACATTAACACGAATTGGTTTGGGACTGCAATCGTACCCACAGAATTAGGCTTTCCTTCCTTGCCAACAGATGCACTACTGTTGATCTACAAGCCAAGGTGGAAGGAAGAGACTCATCCTTCTTCGGAAAGGGCAGGCTCTAGGTCCTGAAAGATATCAGGGAGAAAAAACCACAAGCTTTTCTAGTGTATGTGGAAATTAGGCACAGCTTTGGGGCAGGCTGGTGATCCCATGAAAATCCCAGGTCCCCTTCCACAAATAAAATCAGCTTTCTCTGCCTTCAGGGCCAGCCACAAGCATCTTGTCTGGCCTCTTCGCAAGGAAAATTTTCTGTCCACCCTCCTTGCTAAATTTGAGTCATTTAATGCAGTAAGAAAACCTTCGAAGCAATAATTAAAGAGAAATGGCTTAACATGCCAGTGTCCGGAGTGAACGTTTGAAAACATGATTGTGAATTGACAGTTCCAACCGCAGCTGCCAGGTTCCTGCGGCATTTGATGGGGGTAGCAGGACGGGGATGGAGATGGAAGACAGTTAAAGCAGGAGGCACCCGAAGAGGAGCCCGAAACAAGGAAAACCACTCGGCACTCAGGTCAGCAGCGCCTCTGATTCAGAGAGTGGACGCAAAGTCCAGTTTGGGAGCTAACCCAAATTATCTAGCACTCCCCTCCTTTTTTCCCACCTAAGATTGCAGCAGTGTTGGGATGAGCTTCGGGGAACGGCTTTCTGACTGGCCTGTCCTGGCCTAATGGACCAGAGAATAAAGTGACCGGAAAAGTCAAGTCCTCCTGGCTCTGCACGTGCTGCCGCTGCCGCCTTCCTCCTGCTTCTCCCCACAGCTGAAACGCCTCAGGAAGAAAGCTCTCGGCAGCGAGCTGGCCGAGGGGGCGGACTGCGGACTGCGGACGGCCCCCGCCAGTGTCGCTGGTGCAGGGCAGCCTGATCCTCTCGTACTCAAGTGCTGATGACATTCCTGTAACGTGGTCTGGAGCCACGTTATTCAATTTTAGAAATAAGGAAAACAAAGGCCTGGATTTGGCGGGGTCTATGAAACTTGTGAGGAAGCTCTGAACTTCACTTTTCCCAAAGACACTAGATTGTGAGAACAAAAGCCAGGAGGAGCTCTTAGCAAATCACAGTCGATAACTCACTCTGCTGAAAGCACAGTGAAGACTCCTTTACTATTTCACCAAGAAGTGCTCACTATTATAGAATGCAGTCAACGATAGAAGTTAGCCAGATTGCCAAGTATCTATACTATCCCCATTACGCGCCGTTTTGTGTTATGCGTGTGGGACTTTGCAGGGGAGGTTTTGAAATGTTTGGGACAGAAAACACCCCAATTTGCCTCACCACATCCGACACAGTGGGTGTGGCAACAATGCTGAAGGAGCAGAATGTGTTCACTCTGCAAATATTCCCACGCCGATGGACTACATATCACTACTATGGTAGTTCACGTGCACTGGGGAACACCCCGCTTTGTTCTTACTTCAGCGCAGAAAGAATTCACACTGATAGCAGCCGCTAGTTACTGCGGTTGAATCTAAGTTCACAGACTTTGGAAATGCCTCCATTGTGGCAGGTGAACAATGGTTCTCCTTCACCCCCAGTTCCACAAAGGATGCCGACCGGCACGCACTGGGTTAGTTCAGGTGAAGGCTGTTGAGACCACATATAGGCTTATTTGAACATAATGTTCTCCTTGTGTGTGACAGCAGAGGACAGAGACAATGAGTGCGATTTTCACCTACTAAGGTACTCCGCTTTTAATCATTCCTGCTTTACCCTGAAAATTAACCAACAGAAACTCAGAAAGCATTGTGGAGCTACTGGAAATAAATTATGAGTCAGCTGAAGCAATAGTCCCCCCCCCACAGACTTCCTTCCCACCTTGCAGATGCCTTTAGCATTGCACTCAACTAAAAAGGAAATGCATACTCTTGGTAATATGGTTAAAAAGGTTATAGAACTCCATAAAACACCAGTGGGGAAACAACACATCCTCCTCTATACAGAAGTCCTCAAAAGTGTCACCCACAGACCACCTGTGGGAGACTCACCTCAAGTACTTACTTAAACGACAGTCTCACGCCAGACACACTGGCTTAGAATGGCAGCTGGGGATCTGTATTCTCATTTTTGAATTTATTTTTCAATTACATTTGACAAACAATATTATATTAGTTTCAGGTGTGCAACATAGTGATTAAACATTTATATACCTTAAAAGTAAGCATCTTGATAAGTCTAGTACCTATTTGGCGCTATATGTAGTTATTACAATATGGGAATCTGCAAATCTGCATTCTTTTTTTTTTTTTAAACATATCTTTATTGATTTCAGAGAGAGGAAAGGAGGAGGAGAGAGAGAGAGAAAGATCAATGATGAGAGAGTCATTGATCGGCTGCAGCCCACAACCTGGGCATGTGCCCTGACCGGGAATTGAACCCTGTCTCCTGGATCCTAGGTCGATGCTCAACCGCTGAGCCACGCCTGGCTGGGCTAAATCTGCATTCTTAACAATCTGCATTCTTAACAAGTATATCATGAGACTGGCAGCAAAGAGCAATGATTTAGTATAAATTGCCTTGTGACTGTACTCAGTTGCTGGCCCCTACTCACCCGGTGGACTCCCGTGTCCTGCTGCAGCTGTGGCGATTGCAAAGGCAGAAGCAGGAGAAACAGAACAGTGGGAGCTGTCAGCCATCTGTCCTGGTTATTTAAAAAGAATGGAAATAGCATGGTGAGGCAGATGGATAACATTCTATAATGAAATTCTCATTTTCATTTCTGCACTGAATTAACAATTGGGCCAAATGCTGTGTATTTTCCTTATTAATGGGCAAATTATAAGATTCTATTCTACATCAGCAAGCCCACTCTAGATGCATACCCAAGAGAAATGAAAACATATGTCCACACAAAAACTTATACATGACTGCCCAAAGCAGCTTTATTCGTAACAGTCAAAAAGTAGAAACCCCTAAATGTCCATCAACTGATGAATGGGTAAACCAACTGTGGTATATCCATACAATGGAACATTACTTAGCCACAAAAAGGAATGAAGTATATACATATGACAACATGAATGAACCCTGAAAACATTATGCTCCTTGAAAGTCACAAAAAGTCACATATTGTATGATTCCATTTATATTAAATGTCTAGAATAGGCAAATCCATAAAGACAGAAAATAGATTAATGGTTGCCAGGGGATGGAGAGAAATAAAAATAGGGAGTGCTAATGGGTACAGGGTTTCTTTTGGGGGGGTAACAAAAATGTTCTGAAATAAGGTAGTTGTTATGGCTGCACAACCTTATGAATATACTAAAAACCACTAAATTGTATACTTTAAAAGTGTGAAGTTTATGGTATATGAATTATATCTCAATACAAAAAGTATTTTTTAAATATTCTACATCTTGCTACCAATAGAATTTTCTTCTCAAAACACCTTTAAAAGTACAAAAGCATTCAAAATTTTTTTTTAAAAATGCACTTTTTGCAGTCCCTCTCACTCCTCAGATAGTTTACACACAACATTTGATAACGTTAATGTCAAACTCACTGTTTTTCCTTCCTTGGGCTTTTCATGAAAATAGGTCACTGTGATTGTGACCTGAAGGGTTATTATTAGTTTGCTCCTCAATTCTACAGTCATGCTTAAAATAAATAAATAAGAGGGGAAGCAGAGAGCTGGTTCATGTTCCCACACATGAGAGTGCAGAACAGCTCTACCCTCTCCTTCAGCAGTAGCCTTAAAAGACATGTAGAACAAGGTGGCAAGTAGATCAACAGGCAAAATTTCAGGTACGAAGTGAGAAAATGTGTGACACTGTTTCCATTTGGATCCTCCATATTATTATAAATTTTGCTTTCTTTCTACATTCCTATGTCTCTATGATTTAGTCATAGCAAGGAAGAAACAAAAATAATTAGTTAATCCACAAACAGGATGAAGATTTAAACAAAATGCTTAAACTAAAATTTTCATATGTGAATATAAATATATAAAAAGAGAGCCCTAATAATAGTAACCAAGTGAATAGCATTTAACTCTTGGTAGAGTTTTGATTTGCTTCCATGGGCTTTGGCCCCGACCTCTTCCTAGTTACCATGAACTCAAGGGCATCTGTCCCATGAGCAATGGTCAAAAAAGTTGCAAAGGCCCCGATTAACCAAGGCTCTAAGAATGGTAGAGAGATTTGGCTAATTATATAGTTGACTTATGACAAGCCAGGAAAGTCTGGTTTGTCACCTTCATTTACCAGAACCACCCAAGACTCATAATTGACCAGCAGCCTGAGATCAGGACAGTCCCACAGGCTACATCCATCAGGGCAAATCAGACAGCAGCCTGACCCAGGCTAGCTGCTCTTGGAGCTGATGGCAGTGATGACAGCTTCCACCGTGTGGCCAAGGCTATAAATGAAACGACTGCTTGGAGCCATGCACGCTACTCTATCTTTTGCTGAACTGCCCTACTTGAAGCACAAGTACCGAAGCCAAAAACATGTCTTTACATTTTACTTCAGTTACTTGGGGTGAATAATTGCACCCTTTTCCCTTCCAACGTGAAATAATTGGCTTGAGAAGAAAAAAGGGAACATTTTAAAAACAACTTATTTGGATATATTTATCTGAGCAATGGGGAAATGAAGAGAAAAAAGATTTCTATCTTCTGTTCTGAAGGTTTTTCCTCCAATTAGAGGATATTCGGTACGTTTTAAAATGAATGAATGGGTAATAGTTTATAATTTTCATGACTATAGAAAATATACTGGTTTCTGCCACTAGCAATAATGATAAGGGTCCCATGCAGCTATGCCTCGTTTTTAGCTGAAATACTGTTCTTAATAAGCTTGCCCCCGAAATTGTGGTGTTCCAGGTGAGCCTATTTGATACTGATGCACTGTAAAGAATCAGAGTCTGGGAACATTTTGGTAAAACAAGATTCTGAGATTCTTGTTTTAAACTGAGATTCTCCAACTAGCAATCAGCTCATACAGGCTTCTTGATTCACCTCACTCCACGCAAAGCTCAACACAATAATGGGGTCATATAAATATCGGTGATACTGATGACATATTCTCTAACCACTTATTTTTTCACTACATGGTCGAATAGTGGCATTATTTGCTTACAATTAATTTCTATAACAGAGACAGTAAGGCAAACAAAAGATTCAGAAGGTAGACATGATGTTTCACTTCTTTATTTCTGAGTCCCTTTCTGAGCTCTCACCTCCAGGCTGGCGATAGCGAAGGTGCCGAGGAGTTGAGGGTGACCTGCAAGGTGAAAGTTCCGTGGCGTCCACTGCAGGGGAGCTTTCTACTCCTGCTCGGTCCACGGGTGCAGACTCTAGGACTGCTGCATTAAAACAGCGTGAATTTTAGCAAGCAGGCCATGAATTCAAAAGCTTCTTGTCAGTATCATGCATGGAAACACAAAAGTTTGTTATGGGTAATAAGCATGTCCTATTAGCCTAGATCTTTAGAGGAGTTTAATATGAAATTGAGTCATTCCTCCTGGCAGCATGCTGATGACACTAAATCAAAATGTAGATCTTCTCAACCTATAGACATGGGCTCACCCTGCTGAGCCTGGCTGAGTCTATGTAGCTACATCTGTCCAACACAACAGCAGATGTTAGAAACAACTGGGAGGAATTCAGCCGGTTTCCTCCCTCTAGAATGTTTCTGCTTTCTTAGAGTGGGGAAGGAGAGACTTTTCCAGAGTGTAAATCAGACTGGGATCAAAATTGGGACTTCACTACTTCTTTGCTTGGGCTGCCCCATTAAGCCAACTGGTTTACACCTGTATCAATATGGCCTCTCAAGAAGCTGTTGGGGACTCCTAAGGATCTGGAGCTGCACTGTCCAAAATGGTAGCACTACCCAAATATGGTCATATAAATCTAAATTAAAACTAACTAAAGTTAAATTAATATTTCAGGTCCTCACACTAGCCACATTTCAAGTGCTCAGTAGCCACATGTGGCTAGCATTTCCACCCTCCCAGCAAATTCTATTCGATAGCCCTGACCCAGAGCTGCAGATCAGCAGGAGGCAAGAGGAAATTTTACAATGAACAGTTGGGAGGTTGTAAGATAATTTGAGCCTCTTCACTGCAGCTAACATCCCATGAATAAAAGACACATCATTCTAAGGTAACATTTAGGCTATTTCTGGTGTTTCCACCTGGCTTATTAACCAGGTATAACTACAACTATGTGTGTGTTCTTTCAAGGAAAAATACTACTGAAATTTCATAAATTTCCAACAATTCTTCCATTTCTTTTTCCTTGGGCTTTTCTTAACCAATAAAAGCTGTGTCACCTCCACTGATTTTATATGACCCCTGTCAGCAGAAATACTCTCAGCTCAGCTCCCTTTGCCATTCCATTCAAGATTTCATCCATACATTTTACAAAATTCCTAAGGACTTTATACAAAGCTATTTTTACACTTGCATGTGATTTACTCCCTGAGAAACATGTTCACAATTTTGCCTTTTGAAACACAAAAAGGCCAGGGAAGGGAAACGGTTAGAATCTTTCCTTGAATGACATAATTACAGCAAAGCTGGCGACGATGCAGGATGCAAACAAAAAAATCAGTGCTTAGCTGTCAGTTTTATTATTTTCTAAATAACTCCCTCAAAATCCAGTAATGGAAGGCATCTGCTCGGCAAGAACAAGCAGAATATCAAATACATGTCCTTGTTCCAACCCAACCATTCATTCCTCTGAGGCAAATGAGAAAATCATTTAGTCAGCAATTACATTGGACCCAAAAAACTTGCCAGCGAGAGAGCTGGACAGGCCCCGAATGTCCACTGAAAGAACAGGAAAGCTAAGAATAACGCTGTCAGCAGGTAGATACCTATAAAGAGAAGAAACCATGCCAGCATGGTGGGGGCAAAGAAGCATTTCCTTCTGGCCTGTTCACTTTCAATCAAGTTTTATGCAAACAGCTTTGTCTACAGGACAAGTGGGCAGATGCTGGTTCCAAACAAATGCTAAAATTGGGAGCACTTTCAGCCCACAGACAGGCAGTGTTCAAACCAAGAACACAGAAACAGACACCAGTGATGAGGGCTGTGAAGCGATGCTTGGAGTGGGTTGCACAGCCGAGGCCCAAGTGAATGCTGACTGGGCAAGGGACCCCAATACAGTGAGCTGCCTGCCCGGGGGCTCTCTTCTTGATCTTCATTGGGACTCTGTCATTGGGTGGAATCTGAACGTGAGTTGGGCTGATATTTGTGCCTTTCAGAAGAATGCAGCATAGAAGAAGGTAGGACTGCCTGCTAGCAAGAAAGGAGGGCATGGATGAATGCTGGGTGAGCATGGAACAGAGCTAAAGACTGGGTTCGGGAGGGGGAAAACTGCATTGTTTTTTCCCCTCACGTGCTCATAGTCTCACACATTTTTAAGGATATTTCCTATTTCTCTTCCTTCCCTTCCTGTAATTTGAAGTCTTCTCACCAGGTATTATGGCAAGGACAGCGTTATAACTGCAATGACATAAAATTGGACAAAGGTCACTAGCGTGTACCCTGAAACTGTCTAGCTGGCCCAGGGTGAGAGAGACCCCTGGCCTCAGCATTGGCCTAATAGGTGAAGCTGGCATTATGCAGTGGAGCCTGTGTGGAGCTGTATCCTGAAGTGAAAAGCAGAAAATGTATAAACTGTTGGCACAGGATTCTTATTCAAGTTTGCCAACTGTTTTAAGTGTTAACATTATGCAAAGCACAAGCAAACATCTTTCAAATTCAAGACAGATGATCAGTGTCTCCCCCTTCTTTGCCCATTGGAATTTTTAAGGCTAGACAGTAGGGTTGACACAGCAGCACCCTTTGCTTCTACAGATGTTGCACGCGCACACACACACGCGCACACACACACACTCTCTCTGAACTTGTCAGACTGACACAGAAGTGTTTCCTTCCCAACTTTCCTAGAACTACTTATGACCAAAATTAACCATATACTAATGCAAAATAAAATTTAAAACTAAAGCTATACGCCCAGTTGGTGTGGCTCCATGGTTAAGCATCGACCCATGAACCAGGAGGTCACTGTTTGATTCCCGGTCAAGGCACATGCCCGGGTTTCAGGCTTGATCCCCAGTGAGGAGTGTGCAGGAGGCAGCTGATCAATGACTTTCATCATTGATGTTTCTATCTCTATCTCTCTTCCTTCCTCTCCCTGAAATCAATAAAAATATATTTAAAAAAGAAACACACAAAAACTAAGGCTATAATTCCTTTGTTCCAGCATTCAGAAAAATGCCAAAGAGCTCCCTAGCCCTCAGTATTAATTCTAAGCTGCTTATTAGCAGGGTTTCCTTGACAAGGACCCACAGGATAAATTGTTCTAAAGTTTCAGTAGCAAACAAACAAACAAACAAAAAATGTGCCTGCACACCGATCTATCTTAGGTTTCAATAGGAATCATGTAATTAATTACATTCAGAACCAAAATTGGGGCAATTCTGGAACTACAGAGGACCACACAGTATTCATTTGTTCACTAACCATACCCTTGGCCTCCCACAATTTTTCTTCATTGCCTGATTTCCTGTCTGTTTCATGTTTAATCCAGTTGTACCATGTGCCTGTTTGAATGACCACCTTAAATATTTTTAAGAACAAGATGGGAAGTAAATACATTAAAAGTCACCAGAAGACTGCCACAGAAAGGGGAAAAATAGAGATGCAAAGAAGTGGTCAAGAACAAAGTGCTTAATGACAATGCTGGGGGCAGTCACGGTAAAAAGGAGAGAGAATGGGGTGAGTCAATGGGTGGGCAGGGCTGCTGACATCTCTGGAGTGGAGGCTGGCTGTAACGCACTTTACCCAGGCCATAGGCCTTGCTAGACACAATCTGGGGCCTTCCCCATCACCCTGAGTGACAGGAGCTCTGCACTTAGCCAGGACCTGGCACAGCAAGATGACATTTCTAACCCATGAACCATGTGGATAAACTAACCCTTGAAAATCTAACTGCAAATCATTTGTTTTGAGGAAATTCAGTGAAAAGCTTTAACTATTTCTCTAATGTAAGAGAAAACCTAATATTTTTGCCACACAGTTATCCATGGGCTCTTTCCATCTGAGGCCCTTGGTTGTAAGTGATCAATGCTGCCACATGACAAGCTCTCTAGTCACCACTAGCTGTGTCCACAGTGGTCCCACCTCTGTCCAGCATCTGCAATGACAGGTCTTTGCAGCCTTTGCCAGTGTCCTTCCCTGAGAGCTTGATCCAGTTCTTTCTCATTTATCTTGGTCTCCCTGAGTCTGACTTGCTCCAGGGAAAAAACTCCTGATTCCTACCAGTGATCACACTAGACAGTGGGCCAAACAAGCTTTATGATATGGCATTGGGCCATCACCAGGCACTCTGGGCTTGGGCTCTGAAAACCAGAATTAGGGAACTTGGTGACTAAAGCAAAAAACACACACTGTGTGTAACAAGTTAAAGCAGCGATTTTCAACCTTTTTACATCTCATGGCACATACAAACTAGTTTCTAAAATTCTGTGGCACACCAAAATATATATATTTTACCAATATGACAAAAAATAGGTATAATTTTGATTCACTCACATTGGGCGGCTATTTTGGGTTGGCTGTTGTCATTTTTTTATTTGACAATCTAAAGGAACAAAAGGTCCCTGACTAAATAGTCAGTTATTGCATGTTTTAAAAATTCTTGTGGAAAAAAAAAAAAATTCTTGTGGCATCCAGTGTGTAGCGGCACACAGGTTGAAAATTGTTGAGTTACAGTAAAAGAATTAATTATGGTGGGCAATGGGCAGCTTGACTGAGCACCTCTAGAAGTGTGACACGTATTTAGACTAAAATGCAGAAAGAAATAGATTTTTCTTTTGCTTTTCTGTTAAAGAAAATTGGATATCAATACTACTAGGCCTTGGGCAAATTCAAATAAAATCTCTGAGAAAGCACAAAAAAGAAGAAAAATTCTCACCACATACCCATGAGGATGGACACTATCAAAAGGACAGAAAATAGTAAGTGTTGGCAAGGATGCAGAGAAACTGGAACCCTGTGCACCATTGATGAGAATACAAAATGCTGCGTCTACTATGGAAAAAATGTGGAGGTTCCTCAAAAAATTAAAAACTGAATTATCATATGATCCAGCAATATTACTTCTGGGTATATACCCAAAAGAATTGAAAGCAGAATCTCAAAGACGTATTTACATTCCTTTATTCACTGCAGCATTATTCACAATAGGCAAAAGATGGAAGCAACCCAATGTCTGTCAGAAGAGTAGGTAAAGGAAATATGGAATGTATGTCTATATACAATGGAATGTTCATCCATAAAATAAAGGGAACTGCTGGCCATGCTACAACATGGGTGAACCTTGAGACATTACGCTAAGTGAAATAAGCCAGCCACAAAAAGACAGATACTGTATGAGTCCATTTACCTGAGTTATCTACAGTAGTCAAATGCTACTTTCTGCTTAGAAAGCAGATGGTGGTTGCCAGGGGCTGGGGGGAGAGTAATGCAGAGCTGCTCAGTGGGCAGAGTTTCAGTTCTACAAGATGAAGTAGTCCTGGAGATTAGCCGCAGCACAGCATGACTGTGCTTCACAACACTGAATCATGCCCTTAAAAATGGCTGAGATGGTAAAGAAGAACGAAAAGGAGAAGAAGAATGATTTTTTAGGAGAGTGGCTTTTTTGGGTTTGTTTTTTTTAAGTTTCCTCAATATTGGGAAGCCCTAGGAAGGCTAGTGACAGGGTCTGCTCTGCGGAGTCACACATGACATTGGAAATGGACAAAAGCTGTCCCTTCAGAAGCAATGATGTCTCCTGCTCTCAGAAATGGCTTTCACCACTGAGGTTAACACTAGCCCTTTGCTCATACGGTCACCCACCTCCAACCCACTGGCTTATGTCGGTGACGCGTCCTGATTCTGCCCAACCAGGTGTGATCACCTGGTGCTTTCAGCCTCCAGAGCACTCTGCCTACACCTCCTGTAGTACCTGCCCTTCTTGTTAGGGGGTGTCCATCTTCGCCACATGACTGGAGTATAAGGGGCCAGGGCACCGTCTTATTCACCACTGTGGACACTGTAGCACAGCAACAGGCACAGAGAGGAAGGTGAAGCAGTGACTCTTGAACACACCTACTGTGTTCTCATTCCGGCCCCAGGGGCAATCAAACCAAAGCCTCGGAGCACAAATGTCTCACACATGCTTATTCCCAAAGCTCTCTGAATTCACAATCACACGAGAACCTAGACTTAGCTCCAGATTTCTCGTCTATTTACTGCAATCCAATAGAGGCGTGCAAAGAGCTTCCCACACCTGGGAAGCCCCTGTACTTCGCAGGGCACTCTGCCCAGAGGGGAGGGCCGAGACAAGCCTCCCTCGTGATTCTGTCCGTGGAGGCGCCCGAGCTGGCCCGAACCCCAGATGCACTTGCCAGCTTGTGCTGCCTCATTATTCCCGAGAAGAACCCATCACGACTCTGCTGAAACTTGTTGTTCTAATGACTTTTTAATTATCTTCCTCCTTTCCTCCTCCTTAGTTGCTAACTTGTCAATTTAATTAAAGAATTTCTTGTTTAAAAGGGTGCTACTCTTGATGACAACCACTCCAGTTAAAATTCCATTAAGTACTTCACTCAGGAAGCTTATTTAAATGCCCTGAGCTAGAAAATACATAGAAGCTTCAAGCAGGTAGAAAAGCAGTGGTCGCTGCTTCCATCTGGGTGATCCTCCTTGAAATTTGGACGCTTTAATTGCCCAATTTTTATTTTGTTATCAGTAAGTAAATCAGTTATTATACAGCAAAAAATAAAGCTGTTTGCTAATTTGTCTGTGAAACCTGTTCTGTTGACATCACAGAAACACTGGATGATAAAAGTGACAAGGATCACCTCCTCCCACCCCTACCTCACACCAAGCTGAGGAAGGTAAGGTGATGTGCCATAGGACCCTTGATTAGTTCACTGAGAGTTTTGCTTGATTATTGATTTAACAAAAATTTCCTACCTGCCAGGCACTGGCCAAGGCACTGAGCAGAGACAGAGGCAGACAAGATAGACAAGGCTGCTAATCTCATAGAGCTTAGATGGGGAAAAACTGTCCAGGCAGAGGGAAGAACACATGCAAAGGCCCTGAGGCAGCAATGACTGAGGCGCTTCTGAGACAGAACAAGGAACTCAATGCGACTATAGCCTAGTAGATGAGGGACTATGGCAGCAGCGGGGGTTGAGAGGGGAAGAGCATCCAAGTACCACAGGGTCTGAAGGCCTTGGCAGGAAGAATGTACCTTAAGTATGATAGGAAGTCCTTAGAGAATTTAATCAGGAAAACAAATCACCTAATCCACCTTCTTAAGAACCATTTTGGCTGCCATGGACAATAAACACTCTCAGATTTGATTTTTCCCCCCATATCTCCCTTGTAATATGGAGTGTTGCCCTGGTAACTAAACTAAAAAAGCCATCTTAACGCGTCCAGGCTAGATCGCCCTTCGCAGGGAAGCTGGAAGCAGTAAGGGCGCTTAAGGCAGACAAGAGATGAAGGCTCAGAGGGCCAGGCTCATCGATGGAAGTGCCCACAACCTACCTCTGTGCAGAGTATCATGCTAGGCAGGCTCTTTACGCAACCAGCCTTAATCACATTCCACGAAGAACCTTCCAGAAGCACCTACGGCTCAGGTAATGCTCTTCCACGGACAGTTGACTGCGATTAGCCTGCACTGTAGAGGTCGTTAAGAGAGCTAACCTTGCTCTCCTCCCCACAAAAGCCAGGGGGAACTACAGGAATTTTTTCTGCTAACTACCCACTGCGTACTTTCTACTTTCTATGCAGAAGTAGGAGAGTCATTAAAAAAGGGAACTAGGGCTCCAGAGGGAATGGTGGGGAAGCAGGCGGCCAGCAGGCGCGGGGCGTGCGGCTGCACAATACCTCTTTGAATACTTCGCTTTAGCTTGTTACACAGATCCACGCGGGGGTTAGCTACATGCTCTTCTACAGATGCCGGGCTTTGTTCTGGAGGAGAAAGGCTTCGGCTAAGATCCAACGGTACTTTACCAGTGTGCGGCGGCGGGGATGCCACGGGGCTGCGGGTGGCGGCGGGGCTGCCGGGCGCCGGGGCGGTGGTCAGGTCCAGCGCGCCTGTCCTTGAGCTCAACGGGGAAGTCAAGGACAGCTTTCTGGCCCTCACTGGGGAGGACGTTCTGGACACAGCTAGGGGTGGTGGGGAAGAGAATTTGCGACACAGGCGTGGGGATTTGCCATCCACCAAATGTTCACCTCTGCTGTTCTGGCTGGTAGCAAAAAACAATTCCAGTGATCTGAAAATATGAGCAAAAGCTATTAACAGACTGTAGCCAAGTGGAAACGATTCCCCTGATGTCATTGAAGAACATGCTCCCTACATTAAAAGGCCACAATATCATCTCACTTTTGTGGCCGGATTTCCTTCTTTTCAATGCTGCCTGTATTCCATGCACTTGCCAAAGGTACACAGACACTTTTTAGGCCACGTCTAATCCCCTGTTACTAAACTCTGGTCCAAGACCAGTAGCATTGATGTCTCCAGCCAGCTTGTTAGAAATGCAGAACTCAGGCTCCACTCCAGACCTATGAATGTCACAAGACACCCAGGTGATTCTTGTGCATATTAAAGTTTGATAAGCACAACTGTAAACAAATAAAATAGAAAAGCCTCAAATCATGGAGTCAGCTTCCAAATAATCACAGAGCAAGTAAAGGCCACTTGGGGACTTCAGGGTTCTCACCTTCTTCCCCCAGGACCTATATGTGACCTCTACTCACCCCCTTCTACTGGTGGGACATGGTAAGTTCTAAGGCAAGGCAATCCCCTCAAAGCAGCTCCGCAGGGTGGGGCCTACCTGACAGGGATGGAGGTAAAGGGCCTCTTGTATATGTCCGAGAGCTTCGCCAGCACCTGAGCTGCGGTCGTGAAAATACGATAGGTGTGCAGAAAGGTGTTGAGGAAATCGATGCTAAGAAACCGCAAGTCCGTCAGCCGCTCCAAGAGGCGCTCCACGCTGGCGTAACGAATCTGGGGCACTTTGCAGGAGTTGAGTGTTTTACTGAAGCAAATGTCGATGTCATCTTTGTGAAGACGGGCATCTGACCTATGCACAAAGCAGGAACATGAGAGCAAACCCAGGACACGCTTCCTCTCGGCCACTGAGTATTCGCGGGTTGGTAAACACACACTGTGTACAGGCCTCCCATCTCATTGATAAGAGAGATTGATACGACACATTACATACAACAGTGCAGGGCGATGAAAGCATCGAATATGCCACTATAATTTAGGAGGGTCAGAACTGATTGTGGAGAAGGTAACATTCATTTCATTTTGTGGATTCCTTCTGTAGGGGAGGAAGAATAATTTTTTCTCTACCCTTCTGAGTTCTAGGCTGAGTCTAATGTAATAACAGACAGATTAGCAAGAGAAAAACAAACAATTTATTAACATGGATACTTCATGGATACATGGCAGATACCCAGGGAGAAATGAGTAACTCCCCGAGGTGGCTTAGATTCAGGATTAAACACCATCTTAACAGGGAAGGGGGGTGGGAATGGTGGCAACTTAAATGATTTTTTGGACAGATGAATGGGTCTTTAGAAAAAGAGATGGGAGATAAAATAGTGTGTGACAGTTTGTCTGGGAGTGGGGTCGGCTTCTAGTCTCCTCTCCTGTGATAAGGGTCAGTCATTCCTGCTCGATGAAACTCTCTGGGAAGGGATTTATGACAATTAAGTTCCCTTTGGAGGATCTGTCTTTAGGCAGATAAGGGGAGTTTAGAGAAAGCCTCCAAGCACTTGCTGTTTTTCATGTTCCTATCTCTCAAAATAATCAATATAACAAAGTGGCATATTTGGGGGGTGGCATAATCTGCTACCCTTCCCTTCTCTCTCTAGTTCAATCATGTTTTAATAGGAAAATGAGGCCAAAAGCCCTATTTAGGAAAGGCTTTGCTTATGCCCTTAAATCAGAATATCAAAAATGCCCTTAAAAAGTAACAAATGACACAGCAGCCCTCAGGAGCCTTCGCCGCGATCAGGGCCCTCCGCCGCCCGTGTGGGTTGGTGAAAAAGGCAAGAGGGGCCGGCAGAGAAGCAAAGGTGGCAACAGGAACAACTTGGAAGCAGAGGCTGAATCCAAGTGGGGCTCAGGGAAACGCCCGCCGTCGCCGGACCGCCCTGCGCCCACATTCCCTCCTGAGATGCCTGCTGGCCTTCACTGCGCTTCTCGGGACAGGCGGTCACTGAAGCCCTGGGTCTCGCCACTTGATTAAGGGGACGCTACCGGGCCAGTGATGTTCAGTGAGGCAACTGCTTGCTAAGAGCCAGTTGGCTTGTTGTGAGTCCCTCAATTATCCCTTTCAGCACTCGGAGGGGTTTCAAATTGTATATTTATTTTCTTTGGGATAAAAAGGAATCAATAGCTTTCTTAGCTCGCTCTTGGAAACTTCCCACCCCAAAGGATGCTCAGTGCAGGCGGAAGCACTTCATCTGCGGGCCTGAAATGGCATTTTCAATGAGCCGCTGGGCCCCGCTGAGGAACGGACCGAGGGCGGGCTGCTGGTTTTAGTCTCATTACTGACCTCGAAAATGCACAAGTACATCTTTTGAGATTCTTGAAAACTGCGTGGCTCTTTTTCCCACTCACTATGTGATCCTCAACCAACTGTATTTTTATGGTTTTTATTTTCTCATTTGTAAAAAAGGCCTTAGAAACTTTTATAAGTCAGACTGTCTGAAGGTGGCTGACTGAAGTAACCATGTTTTCTCCCATTTCTACCAAAGAACTCTATTTTCTAGGAAAGTTGAGGTTAATAACTATTAAAAGCAAGCAGGTCTCAACCTATATACATAAAATGTAAAACACCATTTGGAGGGATATTTTCACCTAATAAATCTCAAGATTTTGCATTTTAATTATACTTTGAGATTTGCCTATTTTGACTATAATTACTTTAATCAAAACACTGGGAGGAAAAAATATGTTGTAGCCAACATGAAATTAAAACAAAACTAATTACACCACTGTCCTTCAAAATCATAATCACATTTCATTTAAAGTAAAGAAATTAAATATTATGAAATTATTTCATTTTCTTTTATTACACTGAACAAGGTCTTTATTTTCTCAGGGACTCTCAAGAAAGATATAATGTGTTACTTAAGTCTCTTATGATGATAACAACTCCTTTTTGGTAAACACTTAAAAAAAAACAATCTTAAAACATCAAATCCATATCACCTATTATAATTAGTAAGTTTTAAAAGGAAGTGAGTGCCTGCAAAGTGATGCCATGTCAGTGACAAGGCACGATTAAGATAGGATAACTTTTCTTTTAACTCTGCAAAATGTCCTTTTTTTTTTTTCACAGTGTACTGCTAGGGAGGTGCACAGGAAGACAAGAATACAGAATTTAGGGTAGAAGAGGGCCACGAGGAGACTATCATAAGGAACAGAAATTGCAAAATCACCCTCTTTTCTCTGATTGAGGAGAATCAGGCTCAGTGAGACAGGGAAAAACAGAAGCAAGAGATACATGAAATACATGAAACTCTGCACCGAGTATACATCTAGTGTAGTACACATGGCGTCAAAACACGTGTGACTCTTACAGATACCCTTACAGCCAAGACACAGGTTTCTGTCCTTACAGGAGAATGGTTCCTACTCATTCAGGTGTTGCTTCTGCACCCAAAGGCAGGAGAGTCTTGCTCTGCATGGGGGCAGATATGCAAACGAGACTGTGCGAGAACACTGGTCAAGCTGCCATTATAGGGGACAGAAGATGCATTTGGGTGCCAGCCATAACCAGTCAGGCACAAAACTAAAGTTTTTATCTGTATTAATTTTTAAAGTCAACAAAATGTATGAATAGTGAGTATACAGCTTCTTTGGGGTTTAGGAGCTTGTAACTTGGCTTCAATGTCCAACTTACATAGTCTTGTTCTAAAGCAGTTGGGGCTTTCACACTGTCTAACTTTCAGGAGAGTACTTTTTAAACAAATAAAAATAATATATATTATATTGTGAAATATTAAAATAAGAATCTTATGGGTAGAAAATTAGTAAGAAAACTCTAACCCGACAATGTGAATTTTAAAACTAAGTCATAATTTGGTTCTTTTGACTTAATATTCCATAGTTGGTTTTAATCTTAGCATCACACATTTTTAACTAATCTGGTTTTTAAAGAATTAGACTAAACTAAAAACCTAGAAAACTGAACACTAAAGAAATCTTTGCCCTACAGTTTTAAAATAATCTTACTCTGAATATTTTTAAATTTAACTAGTAATTTAAAATACTATCATTCTTTTATATTTTTCTATAGTAATTATGGCACTAGTATAATGTACTCTGCCTTCATCTAATATAATAATTAATATTTTGAAATCTGTACCTTTGGAATGATGCTAATTATATAGTTAATACTTATGAAGAGGAAAGTTAATGTTATTTATTGCCTTAGCATAAATAGCTCAGACCCCCAAAAATCCACATAAAAAGGCATAGAAGAAAAACTATTTTTAGTTTTATGTAAATTAAAAATATATATATATAACAGAACTGCTTTTAAAAATACATTTTATTCTTAGAATTTGGCATGCAAATAACCAAGAGAATGAGAGTAAGAAATAATTTGGTCAGCTTCAAAATACTACCAAAATAATTTCTGAATTTGGAAAGAAAAAAGTACCTAGAGACAAAAGCATTAATACAGAAAGCTATGGCATATAGTTATTGATACAGCTTCCCATTTTAAACTATAGTTTCCCTATTGATCAATTTAAATTATAGGATTTGCTTTGTTAGGAAAACAGAGAGAGAACAGGATGGCAGCCCCGGGCAATCGCCTCTAGGACAAATCCATACAGAGGCAGTGGGTAGATGGTACCATGGAAAAGTCAGATGATTCCTATTAGGTGTCTTCAAAATCTAACCATATTTCTACAACAGATCTGAGTAGTAATATTCACACCCACTGGGAAGACGCCAAAAGCAGCTGACATACCTTGATCCACCCTCTGACCTTGGACACGGCTGGCTGTCACAAGTTTTTATGCTGAACTTGAAAATCTCTATAGGTTCTTTTTTTATCCTGAGTGAAGGCATATGTAACAGTATGAAAAACAATTTTCCTGCACTGTGAGTCAATAAACTATAAATCTGAAAAACCATTTTGATAGTCTTATTTGTAATGGCATGGCATGAATTATCATACTGCTGTCGAGAAACATTCACGATATGAAGCCGAATGCTACTGAAGCAATATTTTATTCAGGGTTTCACATCTTCTACCAATTCGATCTTAATTAAAATGCAAGGGAGAGTATTATAGCACTTACTTAATCATATGTGGCACAGTGACTTTGGAATTCTCTTCAAACACTATAGTCATTAAGCCATTACACCGAATATTGTCCACACACTGTGAAATTAAAAAATAGACAATTACAACCCACATGAAAACCTAGGCAGATCATATATTCCCAGAATTGTTTATAGCCACAAAACAATTTAGTTTCTCATCTCTCTCTCTCTCTCTCTCTCTCTCTCTCTCTCACACACACACACACGCACACACACACAATGACAGGTAAACATTAGACAATGATGAGCAGACTCAAGGTCTAGATACCAAAACTGTGCAGCTGGCCAGCACCTGAGGGCAGGTACAAGGGCTACGCTTTCCTGCAATGTGCTCCCCATGGGCTCTGACCGACCCCGTGGCCCAGCCCCCTGGCCGGCGCGCACTGAGAGGCCTGCTGCGCTCTGCAGGGGCCGGCCGTCCTCTGCCTCTGCTGGTCAGCCTCTGCCCTCCTGAGAAGAAATCGCCTTCTCCTTCCCTAGCGAGCCCTGTGCCTGCTGCCTGTTTTTTGCCAATAAGTGCCCACGTTTTACCAGGCTCTCTAGCAGTTTTTATTGGCACCATGTTGGTTTGGTGAGGACGCATTGTGCAATTTCTCCTGTGCCTGGCACATGGCAAACCCTGTTCATCTTCTTCTCTTTTTTTTTTTTTTTTTTTATAGAGAACACTCAGCAACTTTTGCTAATTTTCTCTGTCTTCTTTATTTATATTTACGCTTTATCAATTTAAAATTCCTCTTTGCAATTACTTGGGATAAGAGAAGGATTTATTTTGAATTATACATATTCCCTTTGGAAACAAAATAAAAAAGATTTAAAATCAGAAATTACTTCTAGTAACTAGAACACCATGGGGTGCTTTATGACTGCAATTAAGTGGTGTGAAGAGCTGATTGCCAAGTGACTTCACGTAGGCCATCCGCTCAGGGTTTCCCCTAGGCCCCAGCGTCTGATGAAAGTAACCATGCGTACAAGAAACTTCCGATCGCTGGCAACACTTGACTATTCAGTCTATTTAGTATATCAGCACATTCATACTTGTTTTTCCTTAAAAATTTGTTTTCTTGCCTGGCGGGCGTGGCTCAGCGGTTGAGCATCGACCTAGGATCCAGGAGATTGGGGTTCGATTCCCGGTGAGGACACATGCCCAAGTTGCGGCCTTGATCCCCAGTCGGGGGCGTGCAGGAGGCAGCCCATCAGTGACTCTCTCATCATTGATGTTTCTATCTCTCTCTCTCCCTCTCCCTTCCTTTCTCTGAAATCAATATTTAAGAAAAGAAAAAGTTGTTTCCTCATATCTTATGCTATTACTTCAGCGACCAGGTATAGAGGATGCTAACTCTGAAAATAAAATGGAATATTTAAAAGTCCCCTTCAATTCACTTCCTTAAACTACAGCATCTGGAAACATTATAGATCTTTTGTAAAAGTGAAATGATGTAACATGAACTTTGGAAAAGCAGGGGATACCTATAGATGAGTGTGTGTGTGTGTGTGAGAGAGAATATCTATATTGGAAGGAGGGGTAAATATTCATGATCATATAAGCATGTATTTGGTAGTGTTGGGAGAAGAGTTTGAGCTCTAGGAAAATGAATTCAGTTCACTCATTCAAGAAATACAGAACAGTAAGTGAGGTGTCACATGTCTTTAAGGGCAACACTGAATTTACGTGAACTCCAGTAAACCTTGAAATTCCTAGAACAAGAAAAGCAGATTCCTGGGCCAAGGATACTCTGGTAACTATGACTAGGGTGGGACCTGGGAATATGTACGTTCACAAAAGCCCCAAGTAATTGTGATGCAGCTGGTTCTTGTCAAGTGTTGAGAAAGACTCCAGCAGGCTTTTTTGAGGGTTTTGCTTCAGGCAATACCTATTCAAAGGTCAGTTGTCTACTATGTCATTTTGTTTTTTACCTTCTTAATATATCTAAGTAATGGGAAGAAAGGGCAGATTCAATTTTTTTCTTTTAATTCACCTTTATGTTAAAGTAGAAAATTCCCTATTGATTCCAGAGAAGCTATTTTAAGAAAAAAAACATGTCAGCATGCTACAAAGTAGTCTATACAGGTCTATATTTTGACACATCTGCCCAAACCAAGAAGCTCAGAGGTGAATTTTAATTTTGCATTGTAGTTAATACCCATAATTATAGGAAAAAATGTGTTTAATACACCATTAATGTATGACAGTAAGATAAGCACAAATGAATGCACTATATTGAAATGAATGGTCGAATCTCTAGCCTCAAGGTTTTTCCTATAAATAGATAAAAAAAGGGAAGAATTACTGGTCAAGACATTAGCCACTTGTGTGTTTTGTTGGAGGCGCCAACTGTTAATAATGGCCTTACTGGTGCAGCTAAAAGTGCAATTAATCATTCAAGCAATTGTAACTTCTAAAAATTATAGCTTCAGAGACAGAGGCCTGGCTTAGCCCAAAGTTTTGTGCAGAGAGCTTTATGTGAAACTGGGATCGTGTCAATACTCTGGAACCTCTTTATTATCTTAAATAATAGCCATGTGTAATTAGTGCAACACGACAGCTCAGCAAGGTGGGTTCAAATCAAGTCACAAAAATATCAAAGTTTAGCAAAATAAAGGATGAAAGATAAAAAGACAAACCAACAGCAAACATACTCAGAATAGGAACTGAAAGAGTGTTCATTTCCCTATTCCGTAAGGATGGCTAAAATGAATAACTGTCCATCTGGCATGAACTGACAAGAAATAGAAATAGTGGAAAATGTTCATCTCATTGATAATTACGGAAGTCTAAGCTAAAACCAGTAGGAAGCAATGCCACTTTTCCATTACACAAGAAAATGTAACAAAACTCAACTTTGGCAGGCCTTCCAAGAAAGCTGCATAGATACCTTGCTGCTGATGTAGTGAAATGATGAGTTACATATTCCTTGAAGCATTCTGGTAGTGTGTTGAGTCATGAATTATGAAACCACGAAAGTGATCAGGTGCTCTGTACCAGCCTTCCCTACTGTGTGGAAGACACACAGCCAGGGACCTTGAAAGGGAAAACAACTCCCTGCACAAAGATGTTTAGCTCCATAGCACAGATTAATGCTAAAACCGGGAAACTGCCATATGATATGCCTAATATTTGAAAAAAGCTAGAAAGGTGGTACATTAAAGTAGTAGAAAATATGTATAAATATATATTCTAATATATATATTAGAGGACACAATATGAAGCCCCCGGTACATCATAAGGCAGAAGATAGAAGCAGCTAGAAAAACACCTTTGCCTACTGCTTTTCTCCCTATTCTTCCTACTCATCTTGACTTCTCAACACTTGCAAAATTTTGTTGCATTAAGTTGTCTACTTCCTTTTGTTCCTCACTAGCCTGCCTGTCTTCTTGAGAGCAGGGACCATCACCATATCCCTGGCACCTGCACAATAGCTGGCAGTTCATGGTGATGGCATGATAAACAGTCACAGAATCAGTGAATGATTTGGAGTTTCATAAGGTCAGAGATGCATTACAAACAGAAGCTAAAGTATTAATTCATAGAGCATAGAGTTAATGAAAGTATTAATAAGTCACCACCAGGATGTAATTATGCAAATATAGAAGATCCCACATCTCCAATCCTTTGTTAGCCAAAAAAGACATACTTTCCCTGCTAGCTATTTATTCACCATCAAAGTAGTCGTGGGTGTCTATAAGTAAAAATCCAGCATCCTTGTAAAGAATGCTTAGGGTGCTAATAAAAGTCTTGGATTAGATCTGAGTCCTGACTCAACACAGTTATGTAACTTTGGACAAACATTTAGCCTTCCAAATCTCAGGTTTCTCACCTGTGAAATGGGAATAATACTCCTGTCTATCTTCAGAACACTGTTGTTAGGGTCAAATGAGAGCAAGTCTGAAAATTTCTTTGACATATAAAAATAATTATTTTTGACATTTATTCTCTTTCTATTTTTGCTGAGTTTTCAGTCATTCAGAAAAAAGTTAAGTCCATAAAGAACTATTGTATAGTTCAGATTTTTACCTGAGTCTTATATATAAATTACTATGAGCTCTTCAGAAAAAATGAGGCTAAATTTACCTTCTCCATTTGCCCACCCTTTCTTGAGTTAACAACTTTAAAGATAATTATCAAGCCTTCTTTTAATATTTTCTTACACAAACGTTTTCCTCCTATATTGGTTAATGGAGCCAAGAGCTTGGATATAAAAATGCTGAAGTCCAATCATGACTAATTTTGACATATTTCCAAATGCTGAATAAATGCAACAACTCTCTAGTTGGGCATTGCCGATCATGGAAAAGTAAGCAAGTTTTTTTCCTGTTATTTCCACATTAAATACAGGAGCCCATTTTCCAATTTCACAAGACAGATAGTATCTCTTCTGTGATGTGATTCCTTCACTTGTGATTTCTCACCATAGCTCTTGTTAGCTGATTTTGTATCTCTCACCATTTTCCTACCTCAAAAACAGGTAAGAAAAAAAATCCAGTGGGGGTCATTGGAGAATTTATTAACAGAGATATTTTAACACGGCTCAAAACTAGTAATTACATTTAAAGATTGTACAAAAATGCCCAGGAACCAAAATGCAATTACTACATTTCATGTAAATTTTAACCATAAAAAGAAAAACAAACAAAAACGACGATTCCAGCGTATCAAGATAAATAGTGCTAATACATCTCACAGCAACCAGATGTAATTTTTTAATAAAAATAAACTAACTCTAAAAATCCTCCCCAGAAGTTAATGTTGAAAAATTTAAAAAACAAAAAAAAAACACACTTTTGGCAAAGGCCACATCTTACCTGACTTATGTCGCTCATCCAGGCAGCCTTCTCCTGGCGGGAAGGTGCTAACAGGACCACAGTGAAAGGGGCGGCATCAGGAGGCTCCACCACTATTTTAAAATCCAGGTGTCCAAACACTTGCCCAGAACCTTTGGCTTCAGCACACATAAACCAAACGATTAGATGTGAATACAAAATACGAGTAATAGCTGCTTTCATGTAGTTCTAGTAATACGATCAGTGTTCAAGTCCAGAATCTCATTTCAGCAATATGGTACTTCTCCAGCATGGGGGAGGCTTTGCTAAGCTCATAAGCAGATAAAAAAGCTGAGGTCAGTAGGTTACTCAGCACCAGAATCCTGGTCTCCTTCTCATTGCATGTTTTGTTTTGTAATTTCCATCATCTAGAGAGTTCTAAGGCTCTAATTTAATTCCTTTCTTCTCTGCCTGACACTGAAAGGTCACGTTCATGAGACAAATTCAGTAAAATGTGAATTCCCAAAGATGGTTTAACAAGGTTTACAGGTTAGACGGCTCAACAGAATTCTTCATATGTAAATGACTTCAGGGAGTTTATTTTCAGCATCTCTACTGCCTCCTTATGCAGCTCTTCTTAGCTATAAGCAAATAAAAACCATAGGACTTTGTAATTCTAATATAATTCTAAGGGATAGAAAGTGACTTACGGTCGTCATCGCTTGCGTCGGGCTCCTCAATCAAGGTACATTCTATTAGAGAGAGAACCCCACCTGTCTGGAAAGAAGCCAAATTTTCATTAAGAGGCTAAGAATCCAGCACAGGCTGGGAAGCTCTTATCTGCAAATCTTATACCCATGTTGCCACAGAAGAAAGCACAGTAATTCTACATCATAAATAATGAATTATAGATTCCAGGGTTAAATTTACATGTGTAAAAGTAATTGAACTCATTTAACTTCGCAATTCTTTTCCCAACCCACTCTCACTCCCAATGTTTATAAAATTTAGGAAGTCATTCTATGGGAGACTAGATGGCACCTTAGGGGCCCTGGAAAGTGAAGTTGCTCAGCAAAGGCTGAGCTCACCACCC